TTTTTTTTTTTTTTTTGGTGAAAGGAGGCTGACCTGACTGGTGAGAATATGTACAAGAAAAAATATTCTTTCTTCTTCTTTTTCTTCCTCTGGGTTTGACTCTAGGAAATTTCTGAATCGGACCATTTCAGAGATTTTGCTTGACTTTAGATTAGAGGCAGTAAGGGTTTTCCGACAGAAGAGCAGCAGTGTTTTGCCCAGCCCCGGGGCTTACTCTGGACTTGGCAGCGCACAGCCCGGGCAGCGAGAGGCTGCTCCTGGGAGCCCCCACCTGCCCCGTGCCTTCCCCTGCACCCTTCTCTACTGTCAGGGGGCTGGAAGATGGAGGGGAGAGCCAGACAGCGAGAGGAAATGGGGTGGAGAACCAGAGCCACAGCTCTTATCATAGCCAAAAGGAGACGCCTTTCTCCAAGTCATTAACCATATCAGGAATAAAACAGAAAAATATTGCCGCCGGAGCCCAATACATCTTAACTGGCCTTATTTTTTTCCACTTCTGGATTGTTTTTTGTTTGTTTGTTTTGTCAGTTCTTTAAAAGGTTTGCACTGTGCAAAACATACCCCACAGTCACCATTTAGGACCAATTCATCACTTCAACTAGAAGGACTCTAGAAACAAAGGAACCTCATCTATTTTCGCCAATGAAAATTTCATTTCTAAATTGCAAAACTTCTAAATCAAAGTCTCAGAAAGAGGGCGGAAGGGTCAATCTTCCTGCTACTTACCTGGCTTGCGATTTTGATGGAACTGGAAAGGACTCCGACTAAATCCCCCTCTTTCTTCCCTTGATGTTTTCTTCGACAGGTTTGCAGTGCCCACTTTTTTTTTTATCCGGACCCAGCCAAGGTGTGTTAAAGCTGAGTGATCCTCCAGAAATGTTCGCTTCCCCTCTCCCCCTTGTTTCTTTCAGTGCTTTGCTCCTGAACAAGTCCTGACAAAGGCGTGTTGTGGTTTACAGCCTTACTCCACCCTTCCAATTATCTGACACTTGCTGGATTTAAAAAAAAAAAACAACAAAAAAAACCTGCCTCCAGGAATCAAACTTTATAGGAGGCAGCAAGCGTCTCTTGCCAGCTTGGCTAGATTAACCATTTATAGACAGGTGGGGAAGAGGAGCAGAGGGCCAGGTACAGGATATGCCCTTTGTGACTTCTCCTCACCCTCCAGGCGCGGTATTCTCCATGCTTGGGGCTGTTGGTGCCTGAGGCCCAGTGTGTCTGACTCCTGGGGTATTTAGGCACTTCGGGTGGGGTCAAGTGCCCGAGCCCTAGACAAACGTGTGGAAATTACATCCCAGGTCCATCCCCCGTCCATGCTGGTGAGTTGCATCTGCAGCGGTTAGTGAACTAACGCAGGAGAAGCAGCTCAGGACTGAAAATGTTCAGCGGCTGGTGGGGTGGGGACTCCCTTTTAAAAAGAGAACCTGAGTATGTGATGAGACCCATGAGTGACACGTTGGTAATTAATCTTCGCATTTAGCCACATGATGATGGACAGGGATGCTGTTGTCATTTTAATCGGGTGAACACGTAGGAGGTGCGGGCCCCCAAATACCCTACAACTCCAAGTACATCCCACGGGCCCTGACTTCCCCAGAGGGTCAGCTCGCACCAGGTGAGAGCTTGGTGTCTGCCATCCTTGTGTGTCTGTGGGTAGCATCTGGCTGCCCAGGACCACCGAACCCTAGCTTGAGACTCTCGGTGCCGGTGATACAGGCGGTCTGCACCTGGCATTCACCTAGAGGGCCCTGTGGAGCCGCAGCAGGTTTGGGCCCCCAGTTTCGAGGCACCAGGCGAGGATCCCCCCTGTGGCCTGGCCCCGGCACTCACACCCCGAGGAAAGGCAGTGGCCTCTGAGGGTCACCCGCAGTGGCTCGCACCTGCAGTGCTCCCCATGTCAGCAACACATTTCCGAACCTTTCAGCAAGCTGGAGTTTGAAACTTGCTGTCTGGATGTCCTTGCCTTCCCCGATAAATACTCACCATGCTTGCTGTCAGTCTCTCAGGAGAACCTAGAAGACAGTTTTTAGCCTAACATTGATGTGGCCCCACATCATTCCTGTGTTCATGAGCTCATGAGTTAAACCAAACATCACTGGTTCTTCTTCGACTAAGTGCAGATATTTCTGTGGTGAAATAAAGGCACATTCTCCATCCTGTGGAGCTCAAAGTCCAGAGGTCGAAGCCAGCCTTAAATGTGTACTGGCTGGCTTGAATACCAAGTCCAGCTGGCTCAGAGAACACACATTTATTTTCTCACAGTCCTGGGGTTGGAAGTCCAAGACCAAGGTGTCAGCAGGTTGGATTTCTCCTTGCCCTCTTCCTGTGTTCTCCTGCGGTCCTCTTCTGTGCACACATTCCTGGTGTCTCTCTTTGTGTGTCTCAGTCTCTTCTCATAAGGTCACGGGTCCAAATGGATAGGGGTCCCCTCAGTTTTAACTTATTTTGCTTCTTTAATGGTCCTGTCTGCAAACACAGTCATTCAGAGGTACTGAGGGTTAGGGTGCCGAATGAGTGTCATTTAAGCTGATAGATGAAGGTTAAGTAGCAATACGTAGGTAGAGGGAGGGTCTAGAATGTTCTGCTGGGGACAGAAGGGATGAGAAGGCTCTGCAGCTGGAGAGGCATGGTGCCGGGAGGAATGAGGATGAGGCCAGTCTGTTTAAGGGCATCATGCAGAACGTGGCAGAGAAAAGCTGCCCATCTTATAGCAGCCAGAAAGTCCAGAGCATTTAGACTTCAGGGAACTCAGGTCCAAAGCACCTCACAAGGGAGTGAGCCACAAGAGGCAGGCAGGCCTAGGTCCCACAGGGCCTCACAGCCCACAGAAGGGAAGTTTTTCTGTTACCTGGAAAAATGCTCTTAAACTGACACTGTAAGCACTGCACGAATGTCTGGGTTATCAATCCTAGGGAGGAAAGGGTCCAATAAGCTAATGTTTTCTAAGAGCTATTATTGTTAGCTAGATATATATAATCCCTCCAGTGACTCCCAAGAGGTGTGTGCTATTATTATCTTCATTTTATAGCTGAGAAACTTGGAGTCCTGAGAATTGAGTAACCAGGCCAAAGTTCTTCCATCTCATGGGTGGCCAAGCCTATATTCCATTCGACTCCCGAACCCTTGTTTCCCACTGCCTTGAGTGTCATTAAAATTCACACTCATGACCCGAATAGAATGAAAATGGGCAATATCAAGACAGACTGGGCCAGGTGCAAATGACACCCTAAATAATAACAAAAACTATCTGATCAGTGGGCTGTCCTCAGTCAGTAGCACTGTTTACTGTATAATTTATGATAAAAGATTAGATAGAAATCTGCTTATTAGGGCAATCAATTGTTCAACTATAACTATGATTTAAAATCAAATATGCTAAGCAACCATCAAAATAAACATGGGTAGTTTTTTTCTTTCCTTAAGTTCCTATAATAATAAAATTGATATTCTCCACATTCAGGAAAAAGCCACGCTGTGATAGATCAACTTACAGGCTGATTAATTGGGGGTGCCGTGAACTCACAACAGCCTGTGCATACCGCGTGTTCCCGTGTGTGTGCATGTGTGAGGGCTGTTCACAGCCTTGATCGCGGCATTTTCGGGGAGAAGAAAGTGAAAAGAATTCATATACATTCTAATTCCTTAAGGTTCTTGCTTTATTGTATTTGGCAAACTGTAAGTCTTAATACAAGGAGTGACAACCCCTATATTTACTCAATAGTCCTATGTTGAATTCCTACCACATGCCTGATACTAATGGAGTTATCTTTTAAATGTTTTAAATTTTCTAGAAAACAGTAAAATTCTTGCTAAAATAAAGCAAAGCAACCAGGAGCCGGCTTTGGGAAATAGATGTGACTAAGACACCGGAAAGGTGTTTCTTACTTCCTGACAACATCGGAGCTATGTTAGTGAGTCACATGGATCAAGTTTTGATGGACTAGAAGTAAAAGTTCCTTAAAAGGAAACTGGAAAAATAGTCATACTCCCCAAATTCTCTGCTGATGTACAAATGGGCTTGGGGCAAAGGGGTGTCTCTGCTCACGTGTGTCCCGGTGGGTGCCAGTGACTGACTGTCTTTGCTTAAGGGCCATCTGAGTACAGCTGGCCTCTGCACGGTGGCAGATGTGTTTCTGAAAAGTAACAGGCTAATCCAGTTCCTAGTGACCTGGGCTAGTGGTTTTGTCAAGTGACTACTTTCTTGTTAATCTTTTTAAACAAAAATTTCCTTATTCTTTTGCTTCAGCGGGCTTGCCTTATGGATGCCCATCTATCCTGCGGCTCTTCTTAACTATAAAACAGCAGCATGAGATAGTGACATCATGAGTTTCTGATACTCTCATCCCGGGACCCTAACACTTTGGAACACAATTGCCCTCCATTCCTAGAAAATAAGAAGTAAAATTTCCCTGAGAAGGAGGTGGGAGATGGTGATTTTCTATTTTGGTGAGGTAACTACAGTATCAGCAATTGACTCAGCTCTTTTATTGGACAGTCAATCTACAGATGTTTTTGAAAACTGATTCCTACTTATTAAAATAAAAATACAATTCCAGTTGTTACAGTTTGCTACCACTGCTCTGAACCTAGCAGGCTGTATTTCTGGCAGTTTTCCTTGGTTAGTGCTTGTTCCTGGACAGGACTTCTCTGTACCAATTGCGGCAATGCCATACATCACCATTCCTGGAACAGTCTGGCCTTGGAAAAGACACAGCTGAGGAAGAGCACCGACTCCTACCCTTTGCACGTGGGGCCCAGGGCTCCACCTTCACGTCTGAAATGCTTGGATGGTCCCTAATTGTGTTCTTTAAAAAGCACCTGGTTTCCTCTCTTCTGTTCTAATTTTGGAGCTATTCAATCATTTATCTTTTAGAAACTTACACACAACTGTTGGATGAGTAAATCACTACCTCTTGGTGTCTCCCATGAGTAAGGCACTGGGTACAAGTGTGATAAGTAATGTGCCGCTGAGGCTGACACATAAAGCTTGCCTTCCGGGGATTCGTGATGCAGGCATGGAGGTATTCAGTACATACACAAATACATGGGGTGGGAGGTGAGGTGGGGCACCGGCAAGGCACTAAGGCTACAGTTTCAAGGAGGGCCTGGCAAGGGGGGCAACGACAGGGAGCGTTGCTGTGAGCTGAGAGGCTGCAGGGCCCCGGAGGGTGCTGCCATTCCTCCAAGGGAGCCAGTGGCCTCAGTGCCTTCCCTCCCCGGAAGCCCGTTGTGTTGCAGCTGACATTCTAGGGGAGGATAAGAAAACAACAGCAACAGAATTCTTCCCCTTGTCTTGAACTCTTCCCAGCCCCCATGTTGCCCTGTGTCCCTCCCTAACATATTATAAATGTGACTCTTTAAAAATTTGTGTTTTCTGTCTTGAAGAATTTAGGTACTAAGACGATAGGAGAATATTAGGGTATATCACCTGGGGGTGACATATTTAATTAGTTTAAAAGCACTGTGTGTTGTTTCCAGTGCATGCCCTCCTATACTAAATGATCCGAAACTCATTTCTAACTATTTAACACTTGTAAGTTAGTTTTATCAAAAACAACCATGAACTAAAGAAAAATACGTGAAGGATTAGCCTTCACTCTCCTTTGCTGTGGCCTGAAAATGTCCTGCAAAGCCAAGGGTCGGAGACAGTGCCCCTGGCGACTGTGTTGAGAGGGAAGACCTTGAAGGGAGGACTGGGTCGCTGGGGCTCTGCCCTGGGATGGATCAAGGCCGCGTCACTGGAGTAGATTCTGCCCAGGGCGACTCAGGGGTACACCCCCTCCAGAGGCTGCTCCCTCCAGAGGGGGCCTCCTGCCCACCCCGAGGAAGAAGTTCCTTTTCTTTACAAACTACCCAATCTCTGGAGATCTGTTATAGCAGCATAAAACCTCTCACAATCTGAGAAAAAAATATCCTTCAGCTGTCAAAAGACCTCCGGTGTTAGTGGAACAAATGAAAATCGTCGTCGGGGTGGGAAGTCACTCTCGGCTTAGGTCTGGCTATATATATTTACTTGCCTGCCCTAAGACCTCCCTA